TTTCGTTTCAAAAAAAAATAAAAAAAAAAAAAAATTCCCATAAATTTTCATTGAGGAAATCTAAGGGTTGATTGGTCAAGCTTTTGGAAAATAACTTTTGTTTCCTAAAATTAGTTTTTCAGAAACTGTTTCTAGAAAAACACTTGCCAGAAGCAGAAGTATTTGGTTTCAAAAGAATTAAGGGGCCGTTTGGTTCGCTCGAATGGGGAAAGGGAATGGGAATGGTTCCCTTTGTTAGTGTTTGTTTTCACTTATTTGTCATTTCCATTCCCCCATTTTATTTTTGGGTTTACCCAAAATTCTCCTAAACCCATTCCCCACCCCCCTACCTTTTGCATTCCCATTCCCCAACCACCAGTCCACCACCATACCCTATCAAGTGGATGCACCTCGCCGGAACTCACTTCACCTCACCGAACCCTCGCCGCCCTTCGCCGACCACCCCATCAACCCCAACCCTTCACTGATCACCAACCCCATCAACCCCAGCCCTTCACTGACCACCAACCACCACCATCAATGCCCTCCCTTTCCCCTCTTCCCGGAAACCACCAAAAATCCCATCTCCCTTACCCTTAAACCACTAGATAACCCACCCATCCTACCTCCCTTTCCCCAAAACCACCAGAAAACTGACCCACCACCTCACTCGCCCTTCAAAAATCACCGCACCCACCACTCCATCCCCACACACGTCGATGAACACCACCTCCAGCACACCTCGCCATTCCCACAAGAATCGACGTTGCTCTTGACGAGGTCAAGGTGGGAGTTCGAAGGAAAGAGATGGCCGGCGGGGGGCTACGTTTGTGAAGGGGGTCGCCGTAGTGGTGGCTATCGGTGGGTTTCGTCTTGGTGGTGGCGTGGGTTTGGATTTGGGTTCGTGGAGGTCTGGGTTCTTGGGGGTGGCTGTTGGTTGGGCGGTGGGGTGGCTGGAGAAGGTGGAAAAAAATGAAGGATAGGTGTTGTGGTGGTGATGTGGTGGTGCAATGGTGGTGTGATTCCCATTCTTTTTTTGTAAACAAACAACATGCTTAATTTTGAGGGTTTCATTCCATTCTTCTCCATTCCCTTTCTGCATTCCATTGTGATTCCTCTCTACGAACCAAACGGCCCCTAAAAGTGATTATAAGAAACAAAAACTATTTTAACCTGTTTGGCCCAATTAATTAGAAATTTTTTCTTACACATTGTTGTTTATAATAAGTTATAACATCAAAGTTAAATTTAATATTTCAACAATTGAAACGTCTAAATACTCAAATTAGTGCCACATGATGAAAATCAAATCAGAGACACATGATGATAGATAATTTATAGCAATTAACAAGAAGGAGAATAATCCAATTTCAACTTGAAGATGTCGAACCCAACAATGAGGCCAAATAAAATCAACATTAATTGCAATTGTTCACCTCATTAGCAGATCTCCTAGTGCGTGTAATATGTGGGTGAATTGAGGAGTAGTTGCAACATCAAATTCAACAGTACATTACAATAAAATCAAAACAACCTTAAATTAAACTCATGTTGTACGTAATTGCTACTTGGTGGGGCAACAAGAATAGAAAATTTAACATCAACCACAACCACAACCACAATAACAGCAACACTTTTGGGTGGTCGGAAAGGTGGCGTCGGTGGTCAGGGAGGTCACGGTTGCATTTTACCGGTGTTGATGAAGGATGTATTGGGATGTGAGTTTGGACTGATGAAAGTATAAACTTATGAGAGAGAAGATGGATCCTTTTTTTCCATTTAGATGGGATATTAGAGGTCAATTTGCAAAACATAGAGGGTGTTTTTGTCTTAAAAAAAGTTACATAAAATGGGTAGAGTAGCTCCCCCAGAAACAGCAAGAGGAAGCTACAATTTGGTGCTTCTCCTTCTACACTCCCTAGAAGCTATTTTGGGCTTTTTGATTAAGTGTTTCTATTTTTTAAAAATTCCTTGTTTGGCCAAGCTTCTATTTCTTAAATTGAGAAACACTTTGAAAAACTTGGCCAAACACTACCTAATTAAGTTAATCTCCTAACTTTTACCAAGTGGCAGTATTGTAATAAAAAAGTCTTGGGAATCACAATTTAAGAGTACAAAATTATTTAACCACTCACATGTCTAGATTTGAGGGAAAAATAACTTGACGAAGAAAAAAAGACGTTATGTTAGGACTTTATGCCTTAACTTTACTTGAGTTAAGCGAGGTACACACGTACACACAGTAGAATCTTGTAGCTTTGAGATAAGGTGTTTCATTGTGCGTCCTGAAGAGTGATAGATGATGGCAAAGCTCTGCAGCTAATGTCGTTCGTGATCAGTGTTTTGTTTAATTAAATTAAGGTGGTTGTCGTTCATAGGCGGTTTTATGTCCACCAATTAGGGGTGTTCGCGCGCGGTGTGGTTTGGATCCCAAACCGCACCAAACCGCAAAATTGCGATTTGCACTTTTTTCAAACCGCACCAAACCGCACCGCAAAATGTGGTTCGGTACGGTGCAGTTTAGCCATATTTTAAAAAAAAAATTATGAATATATTTTAAAAAATACGGATTTTTCACCAAATACCATTGAGTTAATGCGTAATTCACCATATACCACACAAAATTTTTTAATTCACCAAATACCACTCAGTTAATGTACATTAACACAAAATGCCATTTTTGGTAAACGCCGTTAGTAATTAAGGTTAATTGTGCCACGTGGCAACTTGTAATTGGTTCTTATTAATATTATTTATTTAATTAATTAACTTTAGGAAAATTATTAAAAATAAATAAATAAATAAAACACCACCAACTGAACCACTGCCGCCCCCAGCCCAGCCCCGACCCCCACCCCGACTGACCGCCTGGTCCACTTCCCGGCTAGCGGCGACCATGCATCCCCTTCCATCACCGGCGATGATCTCAACTTCAGCCACCTGTTGTTGCTTAGATCTGTGCGAAAAATTAAACGAACCCTAAATTTGAAACACAAACTTAAATTCTCTCACAATTTTGTTCCGATTTTTGGCCGAAATTTCTAGGGTTTTTGGGGGGCGAAATTTACTAGCTTTTGATTTGCATTTTCAACTATTATTTGCTCGAATTTAGGGTATTTTTGGTCGATTTTATGTGGTTTTTATAGTTCGAATTTTGTGGGGGTTTTGGGTCGATCTTTTGCTCGAAAAATAGGGGGTTTTGGCTCTAATTTGCTCGAATATAGGGGGTTTTGCCTCACATTTGCTGGGGCTTTCTATTAGTGGTCAAATTTGTAGGTTTTGGGGTCGAATTTATCGAGATATTGTTGTTGAATTCGCTGGTGGTTTGGGGGTCGAACGACAGCGCTGGGGATTTCTGGGGTTTTGCTATTGAATTTCTGGGGATTTTGGGGTTGAATTTGTCGGGGTTTAGAAGAAGTTCGAACGACAGCGTGATGTTTTTGAAATCGTCGCCGGCGATGGAAGGGGATGGTCGCCGCTAGCCGGGAAGTGGACCAGGCGGGTCGGGGTGGGGGTTGGGGCTGGGCTGGGGGCGACAATGGTTCAGTTGGTGGTGTTTTATTTATTTATTTAAATTTATTTTAATAATTTTTCTAAAGTTAATTAATTAAATAAATAATATTAAAAAGAACCAATTACAAGCTGCCACGTGGCACAATTAACCTTAACTACTAACGGCGTTAATGACAGTTACCAAAAATGGCATTTTGTGTTAATGTACATTAACTGAGTGGTATTTGGTGAATTAGAAAATTTTGTGTGGTATATGGTGAATTACGCATTAACTCAGTGGTATTTGGTGAAAAATCCGTAAAAAATACTTTAGTTTATTTTGTGATTATTAGTATATAATTTAAATATTAAACTCTTTTTTTAACTTTTAATTAACTAATAGTAAAAAATTACATCATTTTTTAAAGCTATTTTATATACTTTTTAATAGAAATAGTAGAAAATTGGTATAACGGTTTGTGGTGCGGTTTGGTCTTATGGAAACCGCACCAAACCGCAAAAGTGTCGTTTGGTCATTTTTGGAAATCGCACCGCAATTTACAAATCGCACCAAACCACAAATTGCGGTTTGGTTAGCGGTTTAGTGTGGTCCAGAACACACTCTGAACAACCCTACAATATTCCGGTGGGTGTCGATCATTGATGGTGATTCTGTTAACCCTAACTGTCAAAGGTATGTTAAAAAAAGGCCTTGAATTTGGCTAAATTGTCGTAATTTCTTCAAACCTACAAATAATCATACATTTCCCTATTCAGCTCATAACTTGAATACTTCAAATTTCTAATTAAATTCAATGACAAAACAATTGCCATAACATACGCAACATATAATCGCACATGATTTCCCACAAAATACAACTAACATTTTTGGTATAAACACCAATTTTTGGTAATCAAATCTGAAATTTTACATGCAAATAACCACAATCGTCAAATACAATGTTGTCTGTAACTTCACATACACATAGCAATTTAGGAGTAATGGCAATTCAAATAAAAATTCAAACCCAATAGTAATTCAAACACAACTCAAACGCATGGCATGCCAGCACAACTAAACCAAAGAATCGACAACGACGATGATCAACATCTGGGAGTAATCAATCAAGCAAGACTCGATGTCAATTTAGGTAATTGAAGAGGAACTCCGGGTAATCAATCAAATAAGACTCCGATAAGAGCACAAATCTATCCATAACCCCAAACAACAAAAACGCCATGAAATTGAAGTTCAGAGAAAAAAATTGATAGAATTTTAGATGAAATTAATATAATGGCGAACAATGGAATACCGGTTGAATGATTTCATTGATTTTGAAAGACAGTGACCGGTAAGACCCCAATTACCTATGATTATGTCTTACAACCTAACGTCGTTCTATGCAAGTTACATAGCAATATTCTCCATTATCATTGCCCCATTTTCATATTTTAGTGTCCACCAAATAAGAATTCCGAAATAAAATTCTCGGAAACTTCAAATGCCCATTAAAAATCTAGTCAACCAAACAATACCTTATACGCTGAAGCTTTAATCTAGAATGGTGAAAAGTTCTCCAACGACTCAAATATTAAAATTCTGGTATTGGATGACCAAACAAATCCGACATGGCGCTTCATAATTGGTGGGATCATGTAATACCACACGTCACCATCACTCCAACAAACGAACAATCACGCGGTTTTCAATCTCACAATTTTAGCCTTCATTTCTCTCTCTTCAATCTTCGATCCGTCGGAGTTCCAACTCGGTGCGCGCCAAAATCCCTCTTTCTTTTCTCTCTCCTCTTAATTCGTTAACAATGGCGGATTACATAAATTAACGAAGCTCTTCTGCAACAACAATGGCGTTAATGGCTTCTTCGCTGCTAAACGGCGAGCGAGCCGTCGTTTTACTTGTCCTCACTCGTATTCTTTACTCCGCCCCTTTCTCTCTCCTCCTCCTTGAAGCTATTTCTCTCGCTTTTCTCGCTTTTTCCGCCTTCTTTGTCGAGATCTCCGTCGAAAATTCTACATCCAAACCTAAATTCAGCTCCAGGTCATTTTCTCAATTCAATTTTGATTTTGTAATGCTTGTTTAATTTTCTAGGGTTTTGATTCTAATTCAAAATTCAAGGTTGAGTAAAATGTGTTTTTGGTATTAAAATCTAACTCTGCTGGGAATAATTGATTGAATTATGTAGGCCAGGTGCCTCGTCAGGGATTCTGCTGGGAGCCGTTACGTTGCCGGCTGTCGTGTTCTCGAAGTTGATTCAGCTATCTAGAGGATTACCATTGCAGGAAGTTGCACTTGCAGGTAATTTTGTAATTCATGTTTGAGTTATGGTAAAATTTGCATATGTAAATTTGGCTGCTTTATACAAAACTAAATGTTTGTGTCTTGTATAATTATTGAGTATGTATGCATACAAGTAGAATGGTAGAAAACATATAATTATGAGCTGTGTTTATGTTCATTTTTGCCCGGGCCGGGTAAAGTTCTAATTATACCTATAGCTTGGATTGATTAATATGGAAATTAAGTAGATGGATGGATAATAACTAGTAACTCTCGCCAATTTCTTGAACAAAACATGACACCAAGGTCAAATTTTACATGTCGATCCTTCGGTTGTTTGAAAGAAGAAGACACTTAATTTGTCATTTCTTGGTATGCATTCAGAACATAAATTTTGATGGTCAAATATGGAATTCAGCTTCTTTTTACAAATGTGTAGTTCAATTTCTCCTTTGGATGTTAAAGGGGGATAATTAGCAAATGCCAAATGATCAAGTTTCCATGATGAATTGTGGGCCTATTGTTTTTGTGATTTCGTGATCTGCTATAAGCAATTGTAGTTTGATTTGTGATTAATTAATTTATTTATTTTGAATTACTTGTTTGTGCATCCAATATTTAAGCTGTCAATCTTCTCATGTTGTGCAGAATTTCAGTACCAGAAGTTTCTATTTTGGACTACATATATTAGCTGCTTCAGTGTACTTCTCTTTCTTGGTGTGGTCATTCAGCATTCAAGCAGTAGCAGAGTTGCATTAAAGTGCACCTTCACATTTGTAATATTGGGTGCATTAGTGTACTTAATTCTCCCATTTGAAGAATCTAATTATGGTATGTCTTGGATATGACCAACACTTTGTTTTTTGTGCAAAATGAAGGTTATAAAATCGTCTGTGGTTAATAGGACAGTGTTTCCTTTCTTACACTCTATTTTTTTTTTAATGGGTGTCTAGTGTATTTGATTATTGGCTCATATATGACTGTATGACTTGATCTCCTTCTATTTCAGGGTTGCACTTCACACTTATATTTATGTGGATGTTGAGTCATGGAGTAGCTGCAGTGAAGTTGATTCAACACATTCTTTGTACTTTCCCTTCATGTGCCTCCATAGGTATGTGCTTGTCTGATCTTGTTCATGTTACTTCTCCACCTTTGTTTTGGAACAAGGAAAGACGCTTGTTTGACCATCTAACTAGTGTATTTCTTATTAAGTTATATAAAATGTGTGTATTTTGGAATATCTTTTATAATTATTTTAGAAATTGGGACTTAGCATTTTGCTGTGGCACACTGGCGCCTACTGGGAGTTTGATGGGTTCGGTTTAGCTACTGGCATACTTCCTTTGTTCGTTATTTATCGCAACATATGGGTTGGCCACACAAATTAAGGAAAGGGATAAGTGGTGTGAATGGGCCATGTCGCCACAGGCCACTATACCCATGTATGTAAAAGCAAGTAAGATAACAACCTAACAAGTGGGTGTTAAGGGCAAGAAAGTCTGTTTGGGTGTCAAATCTATCCAAAATTAAAAAATGTTGTAATTAAGATGATACTTTTGAAAAAGGTATATGTTGGAGTAGAAAAAGAACTGAGGAAGTAATAGAGAATTTTTCTTGGCCCATGGTACACAATTGTATCAAATTGTATAAGTTAGTAAGTTACAAATCTTACAAGCCTCTTTGTGCTGAATCCTCATGTCTTCTAATTGTACTTTTCAAGCTCCACTTAGCTTCAGATTGATCACCACATAACTTGCACTTTTGAAGAAGTGAAATTACAACAAATTGATGAGTGCGAGAAGCCGAGAAGACACTATCAATGGAGTAGTGAGGATGGAAGAAAGAGTTTGAAATTTAAGAATCAAATATGAGAACTAGCTGAAGGATTCATTGTATTAACTATTCAGTGCTGAGTGCCCCCTATACGTCCCGTATCTTTTTGTTGAATATATATACTCGATCTGAACCACTTGGCTAACTCTGGACCACAGGATTGCTTGATCCTAGATTGGGTTGTGCTTTTAATATTTGAAATACCAGTGTGCTTCTCATGTGACAATTTGGCAAAAAGAGCATGTTAGCAGTGCAAAAATCCAATCAGTAATCATACAGTTAGAGAAGAAACCAACAAGTTCTTCAAGCAATCCCATTTCTATGAGGACCTTTACAAGAAGTAATTGGTAACTTTGGTATATTAGCTTAACTGAGGGTTTCATAGGAGATTTATCCAATGCTTGAGTAATATTGCTCCATTCATAGACTAGCTGAAAATCAGTTACACATCTTCTCATGATTGATTCCGTATGACTCTTTGAGAGGGGGGGGGGGGGAGCGGGGAGGGTTTTTTTTTTATTCTAGATGGTTGCTAAGGGAGTTCTTTAGTAAATAGAGAAATTGTGGCCACATAATATATTATGTTGAAAACTTAAGAAGCTCCGATAATTGAAGATGTATATTATTTATTAGTTTCTTGATGAATTTAATATGCCCATTTATGGTTTCAAAAAAGTATTCATTCATCAAGAAAATCAGACCAGGGTAGCAATGTTGCTGCTAAAGGTGTGTAACACCTACGAAACAAAGCCAAAGAATCACGAGCAAAAGCTCATAGCAGGGAATTGAATTGTGGTTGAATTTTGAGAATATATTTCTAGAGGTGTCCACACCTTGGTTAATTTCAAGAGTAGGGATGGGGTTGGGAAGGACACTAGCACTGGGTGATAGGCCCTCTGAAGCTGTAGATGTATACTCCCCCATTTCAAATTATTTGTCCCCTTAACTAGCTATTCTTATTCCATATGGTCTATCATTTGAATGCATTATAAGTTGCTCATTTAATATTTTAAGCTTTGGATTTTAAATATTATCTCTATATATTTCTTTGTGAGCAGAAGTTTAATGTAGATTTTTTGTCTAGGGTATTACTATAAGGGGATATACATGCTACCCTTCTTTTTTATATATTGATTATTGTTGTTCATTCAATGTTGTAGGAGAAGCACTTTTGGTGACTGTTGGTCTTACTACATATTTTGGAGACATGCTTAGGTCTACTCTTGTGAAGGTTTCTACACTTGCTCTATAAGTAATGTGAACCGTTTTGCCAATTATTTGTTGTAAAGGCCGTTCCGTCTTTTGATCAGATTGTACAATACTTGATGCCTTCAGAGGCTGATGAGCGATATAGCATTAAAAGAAGTGAGATTAGCACCATCATTCAGGTATACTTGTTCTTTTTTTTTTATTATTATTATTTTTTTACGCTGAGTTGGCATGTGGTTTAGGACTTTAGGTTGATGAGAAGACACTACTACAACATTAAATATTTGTTACTTTAACTTTTGTTGCAGGGTTATCTACTTGGCTTCCTTCTGTTTCCTTTACTTTTTAAAGTTTCTGCTCAAATTGCCAATCGCCTCATCAGTTTAAGCTCTTATAATGCAAGGATCTGGAATGAGAATGGGCGATCAGTTTTATTCTTTACTTTGCTGGCTGTTAGTTCAGCTGCGGTTATTCCACTATGGGTGCAGTTCGTTCAGGATTTTCAAGTGCATCCTCTATGGTGGTATTAATGCATTCTTTTTCTCCTACTTGTGTATGTCTGGTTTACAATGTTTACTGTACTTTATTGAAGCAGCTTTAGGCTGAATTAATCGTGCAAAGGTTTCAAAATTTTCAGCTGATTCTTGACTTCAAATTTGCCTTGAAACAGGGTGTTCGAATTTGTTTTCTCTGAGCCTCTTAAGAGGTTATCATTGTGCATCTACTGGGTGGCTGTAATTTGTATCTCAGTGCATCGATTTTATAATATTTCAAGGAGTAGTAAGGTGGAGCGAATTCTTCTGCGAAAGTATTATCATCTAATGGCTGTTTCTATGTTTGTTCCTGCGCTTATTCTTCAGGTTGATTCTGTTGTGTTATGGCTGATTGGTTAATTTCTGTTTTTTCTTACAATGTCTGATGCTATTTTTGTTTTAATTTTTTCCAGCCAAATTTTCTTAATCTTGCTTTTGGTGTGGCTTTGGCAGCTTTCTTAGTCCTGGAAATAGTTCGGGTAAGTTCAATTTGCAAATTTCCATGGTCCCTTTTTAATTCATTTCATCTTTCTTTGGAAGAAGCTGCATTATTCTTGAAATGTAAACAAAAATGATTTTGAAGGTAAATTTAGGGAAGTTTTTTATTGATTCACGAAGAATGAGAATATGAGATACAATAATAGCAATGCTTCTAGTCATGAGACTATTCCTTGCAGAAACTGGCTTACCCAGCTCTGCTGGGTAACTGGTGAGAAGTGACAAGTAAAATGGAGCCACATAGAATCATGAGACAATGACCAAACTTTTAAACTAAAAAATATAGGGAAAATATATATATATCTGAGGCCAGAGAAAGGTAAGGCCATGAAATCTTGCCTTCAAACCCTTTTTTTTTGTTTGGAAAAGGGTGCATTTCATTAATAAGTTCTTACTGCATCTACTAATGCTTTAAACAATTGATTACATCTACGCTTTGTTTGGATAGCAAATAAGGAAAGAAAGGAAGGGGAGGGAAATAGGAGGAAGGGACGGGGAAAGAAAGGGAGGGAGAGGTGAACTCCATTTTCCCTCCAAATCTCTCCAATTTGGAGGGATTATGCTTAGTAAAGAGAGAGGGAAAATAGATCCCTCCCTCTCCTTTCCCTTCCTTACCTCAATCCTTTACCCAAACAAGAGAGTTTGTCCCCCTCCCTTTCTCTTCCCTTCTTTTCCTTCCATTTCCTTCTATCCAAACAAGGTGCTAAACTACAGTGGAGTACAAACCTTGAGCTCAAAATGACTTGCCACTTTTGCAGCCAGTTCCCACCATATTTCCCTTGTTAGCAATCTCATACCCACTACTCTATCATCCCTAACAGCCGCATCACAATAATTTCTTATAAAGTAATATAGCAATCTCATACCCACTGCACCATCATCCCTAACAGCCACATCACAATTATTTCTTATAAAGTAATAAGCCCTCTTTTCAGTGTTTCTCAATTCACATCTAGGTGCTCCTCTGCTACTAATCTATCAGGTTTAGGAAGAGACTTTCACTACATGTCACCTCAACCTCTTGACCCTCTAATAAGCATTAAATATACTATTCTAATTATAGCTGGGGTTACATCCTGTCACAGCTTCCACACTCTTGGATTTTGGAAGTAATGACTTTAAGCACACGTCCAATTAGTAAACTAGGTTCCATAAAACCATAATTAGCCTCCAAACTTGCCTTGCTAAAAGTAAATTATTAAACACTTGAAATGTTAGTCTAACGACTCTAACCCCTTTTTCTTCCCAAAGCCTATTAACATATAGTCCCACACTACCAGGTGAATATCAATCTTGTCGGCCTTGTAAATGTGCCAGATATGAGCTACATTGACTGAAGATCACCAGAAATTGGCGAAAATCTAAAGATACTAATTATATAGGATGCTTTGAACAGCTCAATAGGCATTATATATAAGATAATTTGTTCACCATTTTTATAAATTATGGATGAATTGACCTCTATTTTTTCTGGCCCCTTGCTCAACAATTGTATGATGAAATTCTTTTCAGAGTTCTGCATGGTGGATGCATCCCGTGGTAGACTGGTAGCTATACATATCATGCAACCTTTTTTTTTCCCTCTTTGGGGTATCTGTAGTGTTTCATGAACTTGCCAAACTAAATTCTGGGTCTTTTAAATATGTTTCTTTTTTCATTGTACTGGCAGCTTATTGGTATCAAGTTCTGCTGTATTGGCTGTCATCATTATCAAAAAAATATGTTTTTGCACTAGAGACATTTTCATTTGACATAATTGTTTAACTTTCAACTTTTCAAGCACTCAATCACCTGATCTGAGCTGTATTAATCATCAGTTTACTTGTCTAATCATAATCTTTATAGGCAGGTATGGAGAATTTGGCCTTTTGGGGAGATGATCCATCATTTCATGAATGCTTTTACAGACCATCGTGATTCTGAAATTCTTGTTGTGAGGTATGTGTCCATTTTGCGCATGATCACTAATTACTTGTGCCTTTTTTGAAAATTCTGAAATTCTTGTTGTGAGGTGTGCCTGTAAACCAGTTAGTAATTACTTATGCCTTTTTTGTTCATTCTTCTCTTTTAGCCACTTTTCTCTCTTATTGGGATGTGCGCTGCCTATATGGATATCTTCTGGATTTAATGATCGTCCACTTGCACCCTTTGCTGGCATTTTGAGCCTTGGAATTGGAGATACAATGGTAAGTTTTATATTAATGAAGATATGTCAAAACTGCTAATCGTCTTTTAGTATTATGTGCTGATTATTGAACCTGAAAAGACAGTTTGAGGAAAAGAAAGCCTGCAAAATGAATTTTAAGTGAAGTGGTTGGGCATGATGTAGCTTAAACATCTGCATTTTGCCGACTTAGATATCTGATGTTGTTTCTTTCCTGTAGGCATCAATGGTTGGTTATAAATATGGTGTTCTGAGGTGGAGCAAGTCTGGCAGTAAGTTGTTATGCTCAGTTGCATTTGTCCATTGGTTGAACTTCAGATTTCTTTTCTGAACTTTTTATTTTTTTTAATGGTCTTCGGATGTGTCGTTCAGAGAAAACTATTGAAGGGACTGCTGCTGGTATAACATCAGTCATGGCAGCGTGCTCTTTTCTCCTCCCACTTCTTGCATCGGCTGGATATATACAGGTTTGTATTGTCAACAAAATCAACAAGTTTAGCTGTTATTCAATCATTCTTTGACAATGCATGGATCTACTAATAACCATATCAGATTTGGCTAATTGGGTGATTGAAAATTGTGCAGAATTGGAGCTCACTTCTCTTGGCAGTGATAGCAAGTGGCTTGCTGGAGGCTTATACAGCACAACTCGACAATGCATTTATTCCATTAGTGTTCTACTCTCTTTTGTGTCTGTAATACAACACTAAGTGGACAAAAATTTCTTTTAGGCATTTCCTTGGATCTTTAACAATACACTTAGGTAGCCCCCTTTCATGTACATAGAGTAAATTCCGAGCTTCACTAATCGTTGACAATGAAGTTAACTGCAGTTGCCACATGTTCAGGGATCTATTTCTGAAAACAATTTGGTATGCAGAAACTATACGTCGTTCACCATAGAGCTCCACATAAGGTTTATGTTAATATTGCGTAGCTTGAAAATGCAGAAGGCTGTTCTGCTGGTATTAGATGAGCCTTTTATGTAGTGTATATTACTGATAAGTAAATCCATTAGTTGTAAAATTCATTTCTTTTTTGTACCGTTTTCTGTGTGCAATGAAGTTTCCAGGCTCTACCTATTGGTTCTGTTTTGTAATTTTGGATTCTTCTTCATAAATAAAATGTTCTTCCCGTATGTTCGTTCATAGAAAAATAATAGCTGAAAATGATATTGCCGGTTTAGCATGAACAATGGCATGCTCTAACATTAATGCTTTGAAAAATGTTGGGCAAAATTATATTCATTGACACTTAAGCTTTGAGGTATTCCCTGAGCTTTAGGATGGGGCAAAGAATTTCTAACAATGTTCAATCCTTGTTGATGGACAAATAGTGTTTGTTCAAATACGGAGTTGGCAAGCTTTATGATGCGTGTAGTATTCATTTTTTTTTTCATTGATGTAACAAAATATTTCTACCATGGTAGGTTTAAGCCTGCTAGCTGAACTTCAAGAATATCCAAACAAATGAACTGAATGATAAGCAAGAAATTCATGAAATTATCAATCAAGAAGCTTAAATAGTCATTACTCATGAGTGTAGTCAGCTACTTAGCTTGTTTAGTGACAGGCTAAAGTCGTATCACCTAATCAAAAGTAATTCCTAAAACCACTAACTAAAATAGATAGGGAAGTAGGGTCGAATCCACAGGGAAACAAGTCTTTCTATTCCTAATTAATTAATATAATCTAAATTATCAAGTAACCAAATTGTTTTAATGAGAGTAAAACTAATAATTAAACTAAAGCAAGTTGAGTAAGGGAGGAAAACAATAATAAAAGGCCTAGGGTATAGGTTCACCAATAAACAATATTCCAGGGTAAAAACACAACAATCAATTATCAATGCATAAATTAATCAGATCATAAAGGGCTTTCGCTACGTATTACGATCACAAAATTAATCTACCGGTATTAAATCACATCTCTCGAATCTTGACTTAACCATTTATAAATTAACCTGCCTATTGAAACTAAGCCTAAACATCAATTCTCATCTCTCGAATCTCGAATCAATATTGCATAACTCATACAATTAAACCTGCGCAAATCTAATTGCATAGCATTAAATCAATCAATAGGAAATCAATCAAGCATTGACAGTCAACAATAATAAATTATCCCTTCATATTATTTATGGATCCCCATAAACCCTAGAAATAAAACTACTTGTGCATATTTAAATCTAAACTAAGCAAAGCAATTAAAGAAAGCATAATTAATCAAAGCAATTAAATTACTGAAAATAAAAGGGGAATAAATCGTTACCCAAAATAAACGGAAATGATGAATTGTATAAATCAAAAGTGTAGAGAGAAAACAAGAATATTCATCAAAGCTTAAAACCAAAATCTAGAAATTAATTAATGAGGAGCGTCCGAGAGAGTCTAAACCTCCTTAACAAAAGCGTATTTATACTTAACTAGAAAACCTAAGCTAAAACGAAGATTAAAAGTCGCTAAACGATCTCAAAAACACGCGCCCGGTCGGGCGCCATCTCGCCCTGCCGGGCGCGCCTTCGGGCGAGCAGCAACTCTCTTCCTTCTTCCTCGCCCTGCCGGGCGCACCTTCGAGCGAGGGCTTTCCCAACCGGGCGAGCTCTCGGGCGAACTTGGACTTCTTCAATTGGGTCGTTTCTTAGCCCAATTCGCATTTCCTCTTTGGGTTCTGAAACATGGTTCATTGTCCCGGACTCTTCTTCTTCGCCGAGCCCTTAATCACCGATTTGATGACTCCAACCGGTCTTGGGCTTCGGAATGTGGTCATATGAAGGCAACCTTACTCCAATGCTCGTAGTGGCTCCAATAAATATGGGAAAATTCTCCAAATTCGCAATTTCCTATAAAACAATACCAAAATCTACGAAAACACTAGAAAACACATAATTGTAACAAAAGTAGTTTCGTAGAGCTCAAATAAACACAATTATGACCATTGGGACGGGGAATAAATATATGTAAAATAGACTTATCATTTAGCTTAAGTGACCAAGTGATCAATTCATGATTGCTAAATTAAACTTGTTTTTTTTGCTACTAGTAAGATTTCCAAACACCCTCGGTAAAATTGAGAGCGATTTCCCTTAGAAGATTATGTGGGCAATTGAAAGTGATCTATTCTTGATTTGCCAAAATTTGGGCATCAATTCGTGATTAAATCTGAGCAACTAGTACCGAATTTTCGCTAATGTTGCATATTGAAGACACATAATTAGTAATAGAAAATTAGAAATAGAGTAGATAACAAAAGCAGTACAGTAATGTTAGGGATAAGTTCAGATAAAATGTCACAGGTCACAGAAGGAATATATCATGGAAAATGCACTAGTACGTAATCTATATGAGCAATATTGAGCATCATAGAAAGCACTAGGAAAAATTTAGCCAATATTGACATCAGAGACGAGACGAATGTGAAAAACAGGGCAAAGAATTATCTCATAGGTTGCTATATCTTATTCATATAGCTAGCAAAATATTACATAATACTGGGATTATACATGAGAGTGATAAGACAAGCAAAATTTACAAGCTACTTGGAAGCAAAACTATGAAAAAACCTAATACCATGCAAACTCTTTCATATTTAAATTTTCTCTTTCACTGTAAGAAAATTTATATTGAAGAGCAAATGAGATATAAAGGTCACACGATGCAAAACACTAGGGAAACCTCTATGAGCAATACTCTCGTCTCACAGGGTGCTATCTTATTCATATAGCTAGCAATATAATACATGAATAACATGATATAATATTGGATTATACATAAGATACACATACATTAGCAAAAAAATACAAGCTACTGGGAAACAAAACTATAAAACACAAACTATACAACAACTGAGGAAAAGGCCTAGATAAACCGAAGTAATTATACTTGGTTCTTAGACTAGGTATGAGGCACTACATCTAAAGCTTTTTCAATTTCTCCTAACTCTTTGTGTTGATCTCTTCACTCTTGTTTTCGACCTCCCTTTCCTTCCAAAAGTCTTCATAAACCAATCATGATGTCGATCAGTCACATATATCTTCCCAATGACATAGCCGATTATAAATCCACTTACACACCCTAAAGATCTGATGATCCAATCAATCAGCTTAGTATCCTCTTCAACTATCTCATCATTTGTTGATTTTTGTGGTGGTGAGGATGGCATGTAGTCTTTCTTGCACTTTGTGGACAATGGAGCTCCGCATAATGCCGAGTTCCCAGCAAAAGAGTTATTGTCAAAAGTATTGAATTGTTCTCCTTTAGGTATTGATCCAACAAGACGATTTTGTGAAACATTAAAGACCCCAAGAAAGGTTAGCCTTGTCAATTCCCGAGGAATCAGCCCTGAAAGCATGTTTTCAGAAAGGTCTAAGGACTCGAGGTCTGTAATGTTGGCTAGAGAAGATGGTATACCACCAACAAGATTGTTGTTGGATAGATTAAGAGCCTGAAGACCCCTAAGATTTCCAATGTCCTTAGGGATTCTACCCGTGAACTTATTGCTTGAAAGATCAATGACTCGCAGTACAGTCAATATCTTTGGGTAAGTTGTTTCACTCCCCTTATTTGTTATGGTGACAACATAATTGTATCTCTCATCGAAAGACCAGATTTGACCGTAATCATATAAAAAATACATTTGAAAAAAAGAACTTGATGAGTTTGATGAGTTTTCAGTTGAAAGCGTCATTGCAACCCAACTTTGAAAATACCCAGATGGCAAGTTACCAGTAAGATAATTATAAGATAGATCAATTATACGCAACCCATGAAAATCATTACCAACTGAACTAGGAAATGGGGTTGTTATCTTCCCATAGATGTAGTTATGCCTCATGATAAGAACTTGCAACGTGGGAATACTTCCTAACCATGATGGAAAAGTGTCATTAATACGATTGCTTCCAACATCAAGTACCTCAAGCAAAGTACAATTGATTAATGACTTTGGGAGATTTCCCACAAATTGATTTTGGCTTAAATTAATCATTTTCAATTTACAGGATTTTGAGAATGTTGGAGGAATGGCACCACCAAATTGATTGCCTCGTGCATTTAAAACTTGCAAAGAACCACTAAGCTGATGACCAATGCAGCTTGGAATCTCGCCTACCAGACTGTTTTCTGATAAGTCAAGGTAGACTAAAGAAGTTGCACGACATATATGATGGGGAAGAACTCCATGGAATTGATTATATGAGACTTGATAAACTAGCATGGACCTTGGAGGCATTGGAAGTGGCCCTCGCAACTTGTTATCATTGAGATCTAACGCTTTCAAATTATTCCATGGGAGAAAAATCAAAGGTTGTTCAAAACCTGTTAAAAGGTTATTAGACAGGTATAAGAACAATAGATTTTCCCTAGTTGTGTTCACCAACCATTGTGGGATATTTCCTGTGATGTTGTTTCCTTGGAGAAATAGTCCTCTTAACTCATCTTGATAACGTAAGAATTTTGGGAACTCGGTCAAGTTGCACGATTTAAGACCCAAAGTGTGCAACTTCAAAATAGATGAATTGGTGCTTATATTTTGAGGGAATGTGAGGCTAACACCACTTAATATTAAAACACGAAGATTTGGGAGCATGAAAAATGGATCAAGCTTGCCAGCTGTGCCCCTGAAATTCAAATTCAATAATTGAAGACTAATAAGGTTAGAAATCCAAGGTGGGATTGGACCTTGCAACTGATTACCTACTTCTAATTGGGTTAGATTCATGAACCAACTTGGAAGTGGTCCTGTTAACAAGTTGTTTTGAAGAATCAAAAAATCGAGTCTAGTTAAGTTAGAAAGAGTAGGCAGAATGTCATTTCCTAAATGCATTTGGGGAAGGAATAGTTTAGTAAGTGAATTTAGCTTAGGCAGCCAAGATTTCAATATTCGAGCAGTCCTAACATCCATCATGTTTGAAAGAAATAAACTAGTAAGGCGCGTTAGGTTCATGATGGAGTACGGGAGTTCACTAAAATAATTGTAGGCAAGGCCGAGTATAGTAAGGTCTGTCAAGTTACCTATAGAGGATGGAATTTTTCCAGAGAATTCACAATCATATAGATTAAGAACACTCAAGGATGCAAGATTTCCAAGTGAATCTGGCAAATCTCCTGAAAATTTTATATTCTGTAGAACTAGAACACGAAGAGGACTATTAGAATGAAATTCAGGAAGATATCCTTTTAAATTGGGATTGTTAATCAATGAAATTTCTTCAAGTTTTGGTAGCCGGAAAACACTTGTTGGAAATTCACCCAATAGATTACAAAAACCGAGAGAGATAGCTTTTAGGGAAGTTCTATTGCTTAAGATAGGAGGTACCTCAGACGATATGTCAACAAAGTCAAGATAAAAATGGGTTAAGCGACTTAAATTATTTACTAACTTCTCTAGACTCAAATCATTAAGTTTCAGATTTAACTTCTCATTGACACCTATAGGACCTCCATTATATGAAAGGTCAAGAAGAGATAGGCTTGACAATTTTGAAATTTCTAGTGGAATTTCGCCACTTAAAACTGAATCGGAGAGATTGAGATGTGTGAGCTTGTATAGACGACCAATGTCAGAGGGGATTTGAGAATAATTAAAGTTGTTATAAGAAAGATCAAGCTCACGGAGATGACTAAGGCTGAAAAGGGTGCTGTTTTGAGGGAAGGTGCCGTAAAGGCAGCTGCTACTGAGGTCAAGACCAATCACATGACCCGTCTCCTCATTGCACTTGACACCATCCCACCTACAGCAATCACCAATTACAGTGGCATTTTTCGAATGATGAACGTCTGATTCATTGTGCCATGATTTCACCAAGGTAGGATTTGATACAGAGCAATCAAGACGAAAGCTTTGCTTAAAATGAAGCAATGCAATCTTCTCTTGATCATGGCACAATGGTTTCGATTGCTGCAAGGAAGGGAGGTTAGAATTAGCAAGTACCAGAAAATTGATAAAAAGTAATGGAAAATATACGATAAATAGAAGCATGTATGTAAAGCATCCCAAACCCATTGTGATATAAGTGTATATCTGATTTTGTGAGTGAGGAATTTTTTACTGGCACATAACAAAAGAGATGAGAGTGGCTTTTATAACCACAGATGGTCACTCTGTTGAATGTACATATGGTGATGATACTTGAAGCTAAGGATTACAATCGACAAGTCTACTTACGGGGAAGACGGGGCATAGCACTTGTCACAAAACATTGAAATGAAACCATCCAGAGAAAGAAAAGGAAAGAACAAAACAGAGACTTGACTTCTCTTTGAAGATGACAATAGTACAAGTTGGAGCAACACAAACCAGACGTTTATTTACAAAGAATCTAGAAATGTACATCCTTTAATCTTATTTATATTTTCACTAATATATGCAAAGAAAACAACAGCATCATCTAGGCTTTCTCATTAGCTACTTTTGTAAAACATGCTTGTTCTTCCCTCATATTTAAAAATATAAATACCTTAATCTTCTTGAAACAGTTTTTTTTAAACCCATTTTTAAGGCAGTAAATAAATTCCTTGTATTTATCTAATCACTTTACAAGTTTGGGGTCAAGCCCCAATGAGCCTCGATGTAGATCATCCCCTGCTACTCTGCTAGCTAGAGAGCAAAGATGATAGATACTGAGATATTGGGTATATTTTGCTCTGAACAAGCCAACATTGTTTCCTTTTCTGAACCAATGATAATAGTTTTCCAAAGGCCAAAAATTTCCACAATCCAGATTAGCTAGTAATGACATCTGAATATTAAAAGAGAAACGTTTCAAATGGGGCAAAGAATTTTCTAGCAATGAATCCTTGTCGATGTACTAATAGTGTCTAATCAGATAGGCAAAGTTGTATGATGCGTGTGGAATTCATGTTTTCAATCATTTACGTACCAAATATTTCTAACAATGAAGGTTTAAGCCTGTTAGCTGATTATCAATGAACTGAATGATAAGCAAGAAATTCGTGAAATTTTCGATGAAGAAAGCTTAAGTAGTCGTTACTCATTTGTGTAGTCAGCTACTCAGCTTGTTTAGCTTGAGCAACCAAGTAATCAAATCTTGATTGCTACATTAAACTTGTTTTTTGAGCATTGCTACATTGCTAATTGTACAGTATTCATACTCCTTCAGTAAATTTGAGAGAGATTTCCCTCAGAAATTTGGGCATCGATTCGTGAAGATAAATTGTTAGGAACAAGTTAAGATTAATTGTCACAGGTCTCCGCAGATATATCTCATGGAAAATGCAGCACCAATCTAGTGCACGTATGAACGCAACGAAAATCCATGAGCAGCAATTTCATCTCATAGGATATCATCTTATTTATCCAGCTTAAATATTACACTAGGCATAACATTACATACTAGAGTGGGGAGCTGATAGCACACAACAATCTACATAAAAAAAACAAGAAAATGCTTGATTAGCTGCTGATGCTATCACACTTGATGCTCAAAGCAAAAGCCAGTTGCATCTGCAAGTTCATCAATTTCTCCTGCATAGACGCGTAGTACAGCTCATACTCTTAAGTTATGAGAGGTCACATTTCAGAACGGAGGCAATAGTAAAATGTGAAGCAAAAAAAAGACTCGAGAATTGGTCTGAGGTGTAGAAATCAATTATTTAATCATGGGAAAAACTAGCTTCCTAAATGCATCAACTTGTTGCAAGATTAATGCCCTAAACAAAGCCTAGCATGTATACTGTACACCAGATTCTCTTTCCCACAAAAATGTTGAGCAAAATATTTATATTAATATGTAGTCCCTCGGTCCCTTTATATAGTTCCTAATTGCAAAAAAAAACACGGGAATAAAGTAATGGATGGAAGAAATACAAAAAGTAGATTAAAAGCCAAAAGCAATCATTTGCAAAAGTTAGAGACAAAAAAGGGAATTTTAATCACGAATTTTCAAAGGAAACCCTACGAATAAAACATTTAACTCACAAGGCAAAAGTTACAAACATACTTGGCTCATGCCATTGATAATTACAACTAGTGACAATAACTCCGCATGGCTCTTGTTTAACATGCACTTTGAAAGAGAACCTAGCAAGTCCTACAGTTCCTTACTACAATTTGTTAATTGAACCCACATTTAACTGTTTATAATTCTACAATTGCACTTTAATGTTTAGAGGCCAGAATTTGAACTTTTAACTGTATTAATTTTACAGTGAAAATCATTATCAAGGGGAACTTTCATTCAAATATTACATGTCAAATTGCTTCCAATTAACTTGTCAAGTACTCTCTAGTCCCTCGTCACTAAATAACATAACAAATACTTTTGCCTTGCAAGTTAATTATCAAATCTCCCCCATATTAGGCCATGTTCCCTTCACTTTATTACAAAGTACAATATTAAAAGTAATTTTGTTTAACTTAAATTTACTAAACTAAAATAATCTTATTTTTACTAATTCCCTATTATACATTATATATTGGTCTTTAAAATTACAGATTTTTACCAAACGGGAATTATTTTCAAATAGCAGTCATGCTTAATTTCACATTACATAATGACAAAATAATGAAAACTCCATATATATTCTTGTTTCAATGGCTGTTTATGTGATGCCCTTCCTCATCACAAGCCAGTTAAATAACAGAAAATCAATTTCTCTTGTTCCAAAAATCACTGCTCATGTTATGGCCTCTCATCTCAAGTTTATTACGAGTATAAACAACGAGTAGTTGATCTGTTAGTTCATTTCTACCAGAGCAAACACGATGTTACAGACTTATAGTATCAGCCAGAGCAAACCCGATGTTATAGACTTATAGTATCAGCCATATGCTCGCTCAGTAACTCATTAGCCAAAAAGGAAAAATTGCATATCTCAAGTTATCTTCTTTAACTTTGTTTTTGAAGCAAATCAGCGAATGTCTGCTCTGTTTCATGAATAATATTCTGTCGAGTGAAACTAACATCGACTATTTGACGACTGCCAACCCTTTTGATTGCTCAGTCATCTACATGGCACCATGTAGAACACTGTTCAGAAGCAAATACGTGAGAACTTTAAACAAAATATATAAAGTACATACAAATTACAAAGAACTTTGTAACTGTGAATGATCAAACTAACTGCCACAAAAAAATAATTAGTATTTAGACTGTTTGGGGGTGTATTTGTTACCAAAGTGTAGCTGACTGGCTAACATCCCATTACCATTCCCAGGTACAACAGCCAGCAACTAATTAGTAAATAAACAAGAGGATACATAAAAAAATATTTAGAAGTAATTTAGAATCTCAAACATGCAGGTTCACAAATGATCTCGTTTACAAGGCATAATCTCGATGGTCAACTACAGAGTTTGTTTTCATAAAGGGTTTTTTTCAGGTGAGAAAGAAGCAAAAACAAAAAATTACCTCAACTCGGGCCACAGTAATGCTCAACTCGCCAAGCTTGGGACTATAGCCGGAACCTTAAAGGCTCAACTGCAATTTTCTATCCAAACGTCGAGAAGGAGCTATGCTCATTGAGGCAAAACTGAAGGTCGAGGTGAGGTGCATAGTACTAAAACGTTTGACAAAATTCTAACCAACTCCCGCCCATAATATTCATCAGCTCATTCGAATCCAGCTTTCTTCTTGAGATGATTCTTGAAGGCAATGATATCCCCTCCCCAACGGGTGACGGCTTGATTCTCACACACCCATATCTCATGGGCCACTTGGTTGATGAGCCTGAAATCATGGCTAACAAGAACCATACCACCATCCCACTCGTTCAACGCCTCGGCCAATGAATCAATAGTCTCAATATCCAAGTGATTAGTAGGCTCATCCAGCAACAGCATGTGAGGCTGCCGATAAGCCAGCCAAGCAAAGATAACTCGACTACGCTGCCCATCAGACAAATTTTTCATAGGCATAGTCTGTGCTTTGCCAGATAGCCCAAACCTCCCTATTGCTGACCTCATTTTCTCTTCTTCGGTACCTGGATATTCTCGCAACATATATAGTAGGGCAGAAATTTCTAAGTCGAGCTTTTCTGCAAGATGTTGATGATACTGGGCAATCCTCAAGTGATTGTGTCGCTTCACCGTGCCTTCAAGAGGAACCAAATCCCCTGTCATCAGCTTCAGAAGCGTACTCTTTCCAGCACCATTGGGACCCACCAGGGCAATCCTGGAGTCAAGGTCCACACCAAACTCAAGGTTTTTGTATAGAATATTCTCTGGTGTATAGCCAAATGACACTTCCACAAACTGCAACACAGGAGGGGGAAGCTTTCCAACATCTGTAAAACGGAAAACAAGAACTTTGTCTCTGGAGACTTTCTCTGTCAGTCCTCCCCTCTCCATCTTTGCAAGTGTTTTCTCCTTACTCTGTGCTTGACGGGCTAACTTAGCAGACCCGTGACCAAACCGAGCAATATACTCTTTCATGTTAGCAATTTGTTCCTGCTCCCATTTGTATTGTTTCATTTGATTCTCTTCAAGTTCAGAACGGGTCTGAACATACTGATCATAGTTTCCGGAGTAGATTGTCAACTTCTTGTTTTGCATGTGTATAATGTTAGTGCAAACACCATTCAGAAAATCTTGAGAGTGTGAAACCACAACCAGAATGCGATTGAAATTCTTCAGATTCTCCTCTAGCCAAACACAAGCTTCAAGATCTGCCATCAAAATGAACAAGCAAGGTAAATCAAACTTGTTTCTCGAAAAATATAAGCAATTAAACATACACAATACAAGTTCCCAAAGAGAAATATAATTCCATTAAGCTAAACATATCTTATCACACCACCAACATATTGTCTATATAGAGTAGGCTAAAGATGGCTGTAAGCTTGTGCCCTGCGGGCTACATTAGTACATTATGTGCTGAAATTTTCAAAGAGTGCCAAGCACAATCCAAGCGCACTTACAACAGTGTTGTGGTTAAGTGCCTAGGCCAAATCAAACTTATTAAAGCATGGTTGACTAACGTTGAGTTGTCCTACATTAAAACCTGGCCCAGAGCCCAGCACAAAGTAACATTGCCATGTCACAAT